TACATACACTTACTCCAAATAAAAAGTATTTTTAAACAAAAATACTATTAAATTGCAACACTTTACGATTTTCAACTAATAATTATGTATTATGTAAATCTAATGTACTCCACAGATAACGAAGATCCTGTATTGACATGTCCACCTCACATAAGCTTGTCAATTGATGCAGGAGCGTCGACAGCTACTGTCACATATAATGCTTCGGATGTTACAGTAACTGACAACTCAGGGGAAACTCCTGTTCCAACTACTACTACATCATTTCCAGCTCAATTTGTGATAGGACCGAATAATATAACGTATACAGCCACTGATTCCTCAGGAAATACCGGTAGTTGCACATTTACAGTAACGGTTACAGGTTAGTTATATATCGTTATCTATACATAGACTTCCTGGATATAAAATTATGCTTAAGCAAAAATACTCTACAAGTGATACTTTGTAAACTTTTCAACAAACAATTATGTATTATTGCAATCTAATGTACTTTACAGATAGCGAAGATCCTGTATTGTCATGTCCACCTGACACCAGCTTATCAACTGACGGAGGAATGTCGACAGCTACTGTCACATATAATGCTTCGGATGTTACAGTAACTGACAGCTCAGTGGAAACTCTTGTTCCTACGACCACAATATTATTTCCAGCTCTATTTGAGATTGGACCAACCAATGTAACATATACAGCTACCGATTCTTCAGGAAATACTGGCAGTTGTACGTTTACAGTAACGGTTACAGGTTAGTTATATTTAGTTATCCATACATACACTTACTCCAAATAAAAAGTATTTTTAAACAAAAATACTATTAAATTGCAACTCTTTACAATTTTCAACTAATAATTATGTATTATGTAAATCTAATGTACTCCACAGATAACGAAAATCCTGTATTGACATGTCCACCTCACACAAGCTTGTCAATTGACGCAGGAGCGTCGACAGCTACTGTCACATATAATGCTTCGGATGTTACAGTAACTGACAACTCAGGGGAAATTCTGGTTCCAACTACTACTACATTATTTCCAGCTCAATTTGTGATAGGACCAAATAATTTAACGTATACAGCCACTGATTCCTCAGGAAATACCGGTAGTTGCACGTTTACAGTAACGGTTACAGGTTAGTTATATATCATTATCTATACATAGACTTCCTGGATATAAAATTATGCTTAAGCAAAAATACTATACAACTGATACTTTGTAGGATTTTTAACAACCAATGTATTTTGTAAATCTAATCTATTCCCCAGATGCCGACGATCCTGTATTGACATGTCCACCTGACATCAGCTTGTCAACTGACACAGAAACATCAACGGCTACTGCCACATATAATGCTTCGGATGTTACAGTAACTGACAACTCGGGGGAAATTCTTGTTCCAATTACCACAACATTATTTCCAGCTCAATTTGTGATTGGACCAACCAATGTAACATATACAGCTACCGATTCTTCTGGAAATATTGGTAGTTGTACGTTTACAGTAACGGTTACAGGTTAGTTATATTTAGTTATCCATACATACACTTACTCCAAATAAAAAGTATTTATAAACAAAAATACTATTAAATTGCAACTCTTTATGATTTTCAACTAATAATTATGTATTATGTAAACCTAATGTACTCCATAGATAACGAAGATCCTGTATTGACATGTCCACCTCACACAAGCTTGTCAATTGACGCAGGAGCGTCGACAGCTACTGTCACATATAATGCTTCGGATGTTACAGTAACTGACAACTCAGGGGAAACTCTTGTTCCTACGACCACAATATTATTTCCAGCTCTATTTGTGATTGGACCAACCAATGTAACATATACAGCTACCGATTCTTCAGGAAATACTGGTAGTTGTACGTTTACAGTAACGGTTACAGGTTAGTTATATATAGTTATCCATACATACACTTACTCCAAATAAAAAGTATTTTTAAACAAATATACTATTAAATTGCAACTCTTTACGATTTTCAACTAATAATTATATATTATGTAAATCTAATGTACTCCACAGATAACGAAAATCCTGTATTGACATGTCCACCTCACACAAGCTTGTCAATCGACGCAGGAGCGTCGACAGCTACTGTCACATATAATGCTTCGGATGTTACAGTAACTGACAACTCAGGGGAAGCTCTTGTTCCAATGACTACAACATCATTTCCAGCTCAATTTGTGATTGGATCAACCAATGTAACATATACAGCTACCGATTCTTCAGGAAATACTGGTAGTTGTACTTTTACAGTAACGATTACAGGTTAGTTATATTTAGATATTTATACATTGACTTTTTCCATATTAAAATATTTGTAAGCAAAAATACTATATACCTGATACTTTGTAGGATTTTCAACAAGCAATTATGTATTATTAAAATCTAATCTACTACACAGATGGCGAAGTTCCTGTATTGACATGTCCACCTGACACAAGCCTGTCAACTGACGCAGGAATGTCGACAGCTACTGTCACATATAATGTTTCGGATGTTACAGTAACTGATAACTCAGGGGAAACTCTTGTTCCTACGACCACAAGATTATTTCCAGCTCAATTTGTGATTGGATCAACCAATGTAACGTATACAGCTACCGATTTTTCAGGAAATACTGGTAGTTGTACGTTTACAGTAACGGTTACAGGTTAGTTATATTTAGTTATCCATACATACACTTACTCCAAATAAAAAGTATTTTTAAACAAAAATACTATTAAATTGCAACTCTTTACGATTTTCAACTAATAATTATATATTATGTAAATCTAATGTACTCCACAGATAACGAAAATCCTGTATTGACATGTCCACCTCACACAAGCTTGTCAATTGAAGCAGGAGCGTCGACAGCTACTGTCATATATAATGCTTCGGATGTTACAGTAACTGACAACTCAGGGGAAACTCTTGTTCCAACTACTACTACATCATTTCCAGCTCAATTTGTGATAGGACCAAATAATATAACGTATACAGCCACTGATTCCTCAGGAAATACCGGTAGTTGCATGTTTACAGTAACGGTTACAGGTTAGTTATACATCGTTATCTATACATAGACTTCCTGGATATAAAATTATGCTTAAGCAAAAATACTATACAACTGATACTTTGTAGGATTTTTAACAACCAATGTATTTTGTAAATCTAATCTATTCCCCAGATGCCGACGATCCTGTATTGAAATGTCCACCTGACACCAGCTTGTCAACTGACACAGAAACATCAACGGCTACTGCCACATATAATGCTTCGGATGTTACAGTAACTGACAACTCAGGGGAAACTCTTGTTCCAACTACTACTACATCATTTCCAGCTCAATTTGTGATAGGACCGAATAATATAACGTATACAGCCACTGATTCCTCAGGAAATACCGGTAGTTGCACATTTACAGTAACGGTTACAGGTTAGTTATATATCGTTATCTATACATAGACTTCCTAGATATAAAATTATGCTTAAGCAAAAATTCTCTACAAGTGATACTTTGTAAGCTTTTCAACATACAATTATGTATTATTAAAATCTAATCTACTCCACAGATGGCGAAGTTCCTGTATTGACATGTCCACCTGACACCAGCTTGTCAACTGACGCAGGAATGCCGACAGCTACTGTCACATATAATGCTTCGGATGTTACAGTAACTGATAACTCAGTGGAAACTCTTGTTCCTACGACGACAAGATTATTTCCAGCTCAATTTGTGATTGGATCAACCAATGTAACGTATACAGCTACCGATTTTTCAGGAAATACTGGTAGCTGCACGTTTACAGTAACGGTTACAGGTTAGTTATATTTAGATATCTATACATACACTTACTCCATATAAAAATATGTTTAAATAAAAATACTATTCAAGTGCTACTTTTTGCAGGATTTTCCCACTAAGAATTACGTATTATATAAATTTAATGTACTCCACAGATAGCGAAGATCCTGTATTGATATGTCCATCTGACACCAGCTTGTCAATTGATGCAGGAACATCGACTGCCAGTGTTACATATAATGCTTCAGATGTTACAGTAAATGACAACTCAGGGGAAGCTCTTGTTCCAACTACTACAACATCATTTCCAGCTCTATTTGTGATTGGATCAACCAATGTAACATATACAGCTACCGATTCTTCAGGAAATACTGGTAGTTGTACTTTTACAGTAACAATTACAGGTTAGTTATATTTAGTTATTTATACATTGATTTTTTCCATATTAAAATATTTGTAAGCAAAAATACTATATACCTGATACTTTGTAGGATTTTCAACAAGCAATTATGTATTATGTATTATGTAAATAAACACAGATGGCGAAGTTCCTGTATTGACATGTCCACCTGACACAAGCCTGTCAACTGACGCAGGAATGTCGACAGCTACTGTCACATATAATGCTTCGGATGTTACAGTAACTGACAACTCAGGGGAAACTCTTGTTCCAACGACCACAAGATCATTTCCAGCTCAATTTGTGATTGGACAAAGCAATGTAACGTATACAGCAATCGATTCTTCTGGCAATGCTGGTAGTTGTACGTTTACAGTAATGGTTACAGGTTAGTTATATTTAGTTGACTATACATACACTTACTTAATTTGAAAATACTTGTAAACAAAAATACTATAGAAGGGATACTTTTTAGGATTTACCACTAACAATTATGTATCTTGTAAATCTATTCTACTCCTTAGATGGTGAAGGTCCAGTATTGACATGTCCACCTGACACCAGCTTGTCAACTGACTCAGGAATGTCGACAGCTGCTGCCACATATATTGATTCTGATGTTACAGTAACTGACAACTCAGGAGAAACTATTGGTCCAATGACCACAACATCATTTCCAGCTCAATTTGTAATTGGACCAACCAATGTAACGTATACAGCTACCGATTCTTCAGGAAATACTGGTAGTTGTACGTTTACAGTTACGGTTACAGGTTAGTTATATTTAGTTATCCATACATAGACATACTCCATATAAGAATATGTTTAAGCAAATATACGATACAACTTATAATTTGTAAAATGTTGAACTAACAATTGTTTATTATGTAAGTCTATTGTACTCCACAGATGACGAAGATCCTGTACTGACATGTCCACCGGACACCAGCTTGTCAACTGACACAGGAACGTCGACAGCTACTGTCATATATAATGCTTTGAATGTTACAGTAACTGACAACTCAGGGGAAACTCTTGTTCCAACGACCACAACATCATTTCCAGCTCAATTTGTGATTGGACAAAGCAATGTAACGTATACAGCAACCGATTCTTCAGGAAATGCTGGTAGTTGTACGTTTACAGTAACGGTTACAGGTTAGTTATATTTAGTTGACCATACATAGACTTACTTAATTTGAAAATACTTGTAAACAAAAATACTATAGAAGTGATACTTTGTAGGATTTACCACTAACAATTATGTATCCTGTAAATCTATTCTACTCCTTAGATGGTGAAGGTCCGGTATTGACATGTCCACCTGACACCAGCTTGTCAACTGACTCAGGAATGTCGACAGCTGCTGCCACATATAGTGATTCTGATGTTACAGTAACTGACAACTCAGGAGAAACTATTGGTCCAATGACCACAACATCATTTCCAGCTCAATTTGTAATAGGACCAACCAATGTAACGTATACAGCTACCGATTCTTCAGGAAATACTGGTAGTTGTACGTTTACAGTAACGGTTACAGGTTAGTTATATTTAGTTATCCATACATAAACATACTCCATATAAGAATATGTTTAAGCAAATATACGATACAACTGATAATTTGTAAAATGTTGAACTAACAATTTTGTTTATTATGTAAGTCTATTGTACTCCACAGATGACGAAGATCCTGTACTGACATGTCCACCTGACACCAGCTTGTCAACTGACACAGGAACGTCGACAGCTACTGTCATATATAATGCTTTGAATGTTACAGTAACTGACAACTCAGGGGAAAGACTTGTTCCAACGACCATAATATCATTTCCAGCTCAATTTGTGATTGGACCAACCAATATAACGTATACAGCTACTGATTCTTCAGGCAATACTGGTAGTTGTACATTTTCAGTAACGGTAACAGGTTAGTGATATCAAGAAGTTGTTACTATAACAAATCCCTGGTCATATTTATTTATTTTTTCTTTTTAGTGATGAGTGGAAATATTGATCATGTTTTGTTTTAATAAAGATCATCATTATTAAACTTGTTTAATTATATGCAAAAAAGGTAATGAATCACAGTCCTGAATGGAATCTCAAATTTTAGGTGCTATAGTTACTCCTCCTTGGCTCTGATTATTTAAGTCGACATCGTAAAGTGACATGTTATGCATAATTACTATGTAACTGCCGCTGGCATCAAGGGTTTTTACAGAATCCCTATTCTGTTACTACCCAGGAGCCAGCTAGACCTATGTATAGCCTACATATGCTTACGTAACGATGTATATAAACCAGTTTATATTAAATTTAAGGCCGTCAAACACCCAATCTAACTTTGATCGCTAATGTTGCTGAATTGATATGGATAATAATAATCATGAGTGACCTCTGAATCACTGAGATAATGACAATACGTTGTATTTGTGACCTTGTATCATTATAATGGTAGTTTCCACAAGGCGGTTTTTGCAAGAAGATACAAAGAATATGAAAAAACGTAATTTAAAAGGCAAGAAATCTACAGAGTTTTTAATCAAATTGAAATCTAAATTTTAATCTAAATTTTGCCAATTTAAGTCTTTTATTTTTTTTAAACTAGAATCATATCTGGATTTTCGCGGATAACAAAATTATGATAGCTACTGCTGATGTAGAAAATATCTTTAAAATGGTTAAGTCTAGAAAAGCCTGTGGTCAAGATGGTATCTCAAGTAAAATAATTAAACGGTGTTATCCACATTTAAGAGAGAAATTTAGATTCTTATACCAATGGGCGTTAGATTTGTGTAAGGTTCCAACTATTTGGAAGTCAATGTTAATCTCGCCCATTGCTAAGAATAATAACCTCTAATATGCAATGATTTCCGATGTATTGCACTGACTGCCACCCTGAAGGAATGTTCAGAGAGACCTGTGGAAAGGATACTTATGGAGGAAATGAAAGAATGATGTGAAGATGTATCAGAGTGGGCCAAAACTTAACCAGACTTAACCTCTGGATTTAAAATTTCTTAAGCAACAGAGGTCAGGTAGTTAGGTTTAATAGGAAAACGTCTAAACTACTCATGTGTAATACAAGCGCACCACAAGGGTGCGTCCTTTCTCCCCTATAATTTTTTTTTTACACATTACATTTGCAGATGACACATGTATTATAAATTCCCAGTAACTGTAACAGTGTAAAAATAACTTTCTCGTTTCTGTCATGTGAGTCTTATAATAAATGACGAAGAAGTTGAAATTGTGACAAAAATATAAATACCTGGGGCTCATTATTGATAATAAACTTAAATGGGATCACAATACGACAGACATACGTACTAAATGTAACAAAAGTATGTACTACTTTTATCGTTTGAGGAGGTTTAATGTCAGCCTCTGTCTTATTCATAATTTTTATTTATCAGTTATTCAATCAGTTTTGTGTTATTGTTTTACTATTTTGCACTCTCATTTAGACAAAACCCAATGGACAGTGACCTGCATCAGTTTAGGTGTCAGTTTTAGCTCCCATTCTCAGGGATAACACCTGATTGTGTTCCGGTCTGTGTGTGCATCACATGATTGATGCATACTCACACGCCCTCTGCTTTGACAGCTGGAACCCTGCGATGGGTTTCCGACTTAGTACCTAACTAATCCCTAAAAACAAAACAAAAACAAATATCTCAGAATTTGTAAAATGTTGAAAAATGGTTTCAAACAATTGCATTGCCTGGAAAATATACATTAGGAATTTCTCTAATTGCAAGCCTATTTCCTTACAAAGTCAAGTCAAAAAATAATCTAAAAATATTCTGTCTTATTTTAAGATGATAGCACCTCTACTGAACTGTCTTCTACAGTATCAACGACAGTCGCAGTTGCTGGTAAATATACCAACTTCATTATTTAATTACTATTGTCAATATTATCATCATTATCTCACCATCACATTAATCATTATTGTTATTTTTGCAGCTATTACTAATATTGTTGCTGTTATCATCATCATTATGCACAATCATTATTATGTATAATATTATTATCACTTGTTATTACCAGTATTGTTTTTATCAATACTGTAGGTATTATTGTTAAAATCATTGGGATCTCTGGTTCTAGTAAATGCTTTACTCAGCTAAGTAGATAAAAATTCAAACACACAGAAATGAATGGTATTCTTTATCATATCAACTTTTCTTGTTTTAGCCTATCTTTACTGTGTCGTAGTGGTTTTTGCTGGATGCATTTTGCACTAACAGTTTTGGGCATCACCCCTTCATCAAGTCGTAATAGACAAATGCGAATATTAGTCATAGATACCTTAATTGATTCTTTTGACTTTTTACTGATACATTAGTTAAAATATTGTGGACACAAAACTCATATAATTTATTTTAACATTCATATTATTACTGCGTACACCTGTTTTAATTGCTTTCAGCATGTCCATTCCCTAATCAAATTCGATGTGGCACTTCTGAAGAATGTATAGATGAGGTTTACCTTTGTGATGAATATCCAGATTGTGATAACAACTTTGATGAAACAGTTGATGCGGGATGTAATAGTATGTACACATTTTCTATATTAAATATAATAAATATAACTTCTATCATTCTGAATTGGATTGGATTGGATTGGATTTATGTGGTGTAACCACCAAGGATAGCCCATGAAAGTCTAGAAGAAGACTTATTTCCAGTGGGGTCTTTCTGGTGGTGTACACCGGGAGACAATCCCCTACTCTTTCCCGAAGAGTGTACTGCGTTCTTTAACGTGCACATGGGCCATAAATGCACACAGCACCAACGGCTTAAACATCTCATCCGAAAGACGGTGCACTATTGTAACTTGTATTTCAGCCCTCTGGCTGAAACACAAGGAGAGTCAGCGATGGGAATTGAACCGGAGACCTAGAGATCTCCACAGTTCAGCGCATACATACAGTAGTGGCTACCACCAGATTAGCCGACTGAGCTAAGCTGCTCTCTCAATAGCAAAAGGAGTGTTCGAGTGTTAGTCTAAGTACCTTGACAGTTTCTGAAAAAGGGGATTTTTTTATCTGAACAAAAAAGCGATATTCTACATAAGTAATTTATTATTTACTATTACAAAATGAAAATAAATCTTCTTTCTGATGCAGTCACTACCCCAATGGTGTCAGTAAAAGGAAGAAAACCCTGAAAGAAAATCATTTGGTTT